ATTGAGCTGCACATGCATTAAAAAAAATAGTCAACCCTAAAACAGATCTTAACGTTTTCCAAATAAAATTAAGTAGCCATTCATACAAATGAACACATTACATCACTTACCCTCAAAATCAAGATTTATTGTGCAAACCCTCTTTTCCATACATGTCCTGTCCAACAACACTCAGATCCTTGTTTTACAAGAAAATTGGGGTGCATAAAGGTCACTCTACTGTGGGTGATGGAAGGAAAAACCCTACCAGACCTGTCCATCCCTAGTCACTCACTACCTGTAGTCATCTAAGCTTCATGGAAGCGGATTAAATGACAACGTAGAGCAGGTGCATCGGTAAATGTTTCTACTTAGTGAAATCCTATGCGACTATTACAACTGCCAAGATGGTAGTGCTAACAAGGCCAAATGAAGTCACAATGGCGTCTCTGACTGAGGACCACTCATAAATTACCTACCTCCTTTCACCTTTCTCCATCAATCACATGATATAAACATTTCTCTAGGAGACTTGTGGGTTAAGATGACTCCACTCAGGAAAACAACCCCTGTTTTCACAAGCATCACACTGGACATTACACGACAACTGCCTAACTCAAAGTGAACAGAGGCCCTCCAATAACTAGAGCTCTCCCCTCTTAGTCTGCACTGAAGAAAATTGGGTCATAGAAGAGACATTCTGATCTCTGCCTCAGAATAGATCATTTACCATTTGATTCATAATAGTGTTCATTTAAACCAAGCTATCCATATTCATTTTGTGCTTTTCTAAAATGTTCTTAATTTTAATAAATCAAGTTTCAACTAGACTTTGTCTTTACAGATAACTGGTGACTCAGGACTTACATTTTCAATCTGTCAGTAATGAAATGGTTAAACTTGAGGGTAACACCCTAGTGGATATGCTCTCCCTCAACCATCAAAGGGTGGGGAGGGGTCACAGTCAGTTACTCCTGTTACACCAGTGTTCACAGGAACATCTGTAGGCACACAAACACTCTACCCTTCAGTTTTCAGCTTGCCACAGTCATACCAAACAGTCAGTGACTCTTCCCCAAGGAGTTTAATTCCTGGTTTAGCCGCAAGGATTCAGAGAGGGATAAGCAGCCCCTCTGGCCTTCAGGTAGGTCTAATACCTTCCTTTCTAGCAAAGCTAAAAGATGGGAACCTATGTTTATAAACTTAAGGGACTGCTGATGCCACACTAAAGCAGTATGCTGGCTATGGATGAACAAGGCATCTGGGTAGGGAAGAAGTGCTGTAGAATTGGGAAATATGGGGTCACCTGGTTTCAAGCTACTGCAAGGATTAATTATGATTCCTTCAGGGTATTATCATTAATCTTGGGACATAAATGATCCTCTGGCATCAGCATGGGAAGACAGGCCTAAGCCTGGTTTCAATGCCGGGAGAAATCAACTAATGTTTGAGGCATACGCCTCAAACCTGATTAACTGTGCAAGCCATGTTACTCACACACTAAGTAGCTGCAGTGCATGCTGTACTTGGCAGCTTGGCATGAGGAAACATGGGCAATGCTGATCTGTAAGATTTAGCACTTCAGAGTACACTATCTGTCTTTGGAGAGAAAGTCAGTTCCGACACAGGAAACTACAAACCCAGACCTCACGCCATTACTTCTCTTCTGATACTCAACTATGCCCTGGCTTCAAAGTGAATAAGTGAAAATTGCCCTGCTGGGGAATGCTAGCACAGGGCTGAGGAAACTGTGTTAAGGGTATTGGCCCCATATTTCTTCCTTTTAAAAAGAATCTTTAATGTGTTGACTTTGAAATTTCCCTTAGTTGAAAAGCAGTCTCTTTTTTTTATCTGCTTGATATTTTTATCTATTTAAAGAGGAACCTTCGGTGGGATATTTTAGATGTAGCATAATTTTTAAACAATTTTTAAAACCCTAAATGTAACTAATATGGTTAAATTAAAGCCCTGAAAAAAATACACTCGTCAATTCCAGTAAAAATATATTCCTGCCCAAGAACTAAAATTTCAACAACTCAGTGTGTTAAAAATACTAAAACACTTCCAATGTTTCTATTATCTAAATAAATGAATGGCCTGACTAAGACAGAGCATCTAAGACTTCAATGAGAAAACATTTGCCTATGTTCCAAGAGGAGACAGTGTAGATCCCTTTACTGTTTTTAGGGTTCAAGTTTCTAAAAAATGGACACTCTTCCCTGTGCACTGCTCAAGATACTGCTTCTATTTAATCGATAATGCTCCAAATCCCTATGGTGACCTTCTGACCTTCACATGGCACAGTGGGCTACAGTGAAAACGACTTTCAGTATCTCTCTCTCTCTCTCTCTCCCCTCGCTCCCCCCCCCTCTCTCCTCTCTCTCTCTCTCTCTCTCTCTCTCTCTCTCTCTCTCTCTCTCTCTCTCTCTTTCTCTCTCTCTTCCCCCTCTCCCCTCCTTCTCTCCCTCCCTCTCCTGGATTGGGGGTCAACCCTTTCTTTAAATTCCTATGGACAGAATTTCTCAATTGATGGAAGAGCCTCTCTTATGCATACTTGAACAGCCCAGGAATAAATTAATCATTTCCCCGGGTTATTTAACAATCAGAAAAAGCTACTGGATCTGCAAATCACCACAACCTGAGGAAGTGGGGGGCTTGCTTTCATAGCTCCAGAAATAACCTGTCTCAGGCACCATTTCCTCCCTTGACTTATCCCATGGAGAATATTAAAAGATCAGGTCTTGAGGACTCTCTCAAGTAAACTGTAAGTCATAGCTGTAAGAGAATGCTTAGCAATTAATGATATATAAACTAAGGAAGTGCTTCAGGGCAAAAAAAACCATATATATCATAGAGTAACCACAGATACTACATGCCCCAAGGAGCATTGGCAAGGGGAACAAAAATATAGTGTCCAGTAACATTTGCTGGCAATTTCTGTGCACCAGGCACTATGCCTTATATTCAGCACCTGCTAATTTACTTCACAAAGCAATCCAATGAAAAGGTATTAATATTATCCCAATTTTCAAACAAAAGAGATAAAGTAAGTTGCCAAAGATGGTTACAAAGAAACTAAGTGCTAGAGTTTCAGATTTAGACTCATAAAATCCAACTTTGAATCTTGCATACACAATGATGGGTTAGAGAAGTAGTGAAAAGAACAAGATAACACTTATTTAAACTGAGTCACCACCAATACCTTTGGCTTATAAATGTATCCTATTATCATTAGTTCAAAAGTTTATCATTTACACCACCCCCTCTACTGCTCAGAAAATATCTTGAAGGGAGGGAGGGAAACAAAAGAGTGTTAAGAGCCAGAAGAAAAGAGGCTCTGTGAAATGCTATCTTCAAGGCATGACCCAGACACTGCAATCATGAACTCACACTAGCTGTGGTTTCCTAAGACTGGGCCTGAACAAGACTGGCCCTATCAACAGCCAATCATGGATTGGACAGGAGCTCAAGAGGCCCTACTCCACTCCACAGCACTACTGACTACTGATAGACTTGGGGAGAGAAGTCCCTGCCTTCAGATATGCACCCATTTATGAGCATTCCAAGCTTCTATAGACAGTTCCAAACCCATGGTCACACAGATGTCTCTGTTTAAACTCAGTGGGTCACAAAACAAAACAAAAATGACATGAATATGGGAAATGTGAGGAAAAGATTTGGGGTGGGGTGGGGAAGAAGGATGGCGGGGGCAGGAGTGAGACAAAAGAGGGTGGTAGCAAGAGTAATCAGAATGAACTATATGCATGTATGAAGCTGTCAAAGAACAAATTCACTTAAGGAAAAAAAAAAAAAGGTTATCTGTCTTCATCCGCTGACCAAATCCCAACATCCTATAGTCCTTTCTAAACATCTCCAGCATCATTCATGTGTACTGCTGTTATCAGGAAATAACTGTGATCTAACAGCCTTGTTATCTATTAGTTCAAAGACAAAGGTATCTACTATTTAATGTGCTCTGGCCCTGTTCTAAGTCCTTTACAAGTCTTAAAACACCAATCATAACTGAAATCAACCTATGAGGGTAAAATTACCTCATTTTACAGATGAGGAAATCGAGTCACAGCGAGTTAAACAGCTTGCTCAAAGTCATGAGTTATGAAGTGACAGCCAGGATTTGAATATAATCTGATGGCACTGGGTCCTAGTTTTGGTCATTGTTTTTTTTTTCTTTTTAAACAACTTACTCAAAAAAAAAGTCTAACTTATTTTGTTTCAATATTTAGTGTCAGAACAGAGTGTTTTGCATCTGCAAGCAGAAAGAGTACTTCATCTCTCTCTAAGGTAGGTAACAGTACAAACTTCCCAAGATACTTTATCTAATAAATATTTCTTAATGGCAGTACAATACGAAAAGGAGCCCTCTTTGCACTCAATATAAAATTACTCAAGAACCATCTCACAGTTTATGGGCTGGAAAGTGGTCTGAAACAGGACAATTCTATTTTCCTAGGTGTTGGGACAGGGGCGGGGCCGGGTAGTTTAGAAACCGACTCTGCTTTGCTGGAAGAATCCTCAAAACAAGAAGGAAGGAAGCTGATGAACAGAAAGGGGGAGGGGGTCTTCTAAAGTATCCCTTGCAACTGCCAAATTACTACACTTCCGTTAATAAGAGCAGGAGTTGGGGGGAGGGGGGTAGTCATTTCAAACTGTTTCTCCCTCTGCGTGCTAGATATTCTAAGTCTCGTCTTTTGGTTCTGAAAATCAGTCAACTTTGCTAACTCCCTGTCCCAGCAAGCCACGAGTCCTCAGAGTGCAATTCTGAGTCTGGCTTCAATCGATCCAGAGTGGAGTCAGTAAAGACGACTCAACCATGGCTTCCCTTCAGACTGTGGTTTCCAGGCAACCACATTAGGGCGAGAAGTATCTGTGCCTCCTACAGGGACACCCCACTAAGAGTCCCAGAAGAAGCTGCGGCGAATCCTGAGCACGGGGTTGCAGGAGCCCCTCCTGGTATTCTTGCCTTCCAGCGCCCCGATGTCGGCAGAGGGACGCACTCTCACCTTCGTTCCCTAGCTGTCCGTCACCTGGGCGCCCATCTAGTCACTTCGTACTTTTGGAGTCCTTTCCAGTCAGCCTAGAAGGGTCCAGTCCTGAAGCCAAAAGGAGACAAACTATAGAAAACGGATTCCTGGGAAATGTAGTTCTGTTGACTCGCATGCACGGGCTCTCTGGGAAAGAGGGACTACAATTCCCAGAAATCAAAGCGAAGCGAGTCCGCCACTAAAATATGTCCCAGCAGCTAGAATTGAATTAAGTGGGAAAAGTCTGTGGATCTTCGCTTCCTGCTTTGGGGTCTCAACAGTTCTAGGAAAAGCACGTTAAATGACTTTTCTTTTAAACAAGCCTTTTTTTCCCATTTTCATTTAAATTAGAAACAAGATTGTTTTACATGTCAATCGCAGTTCCCTTTCCCTCTCCTTCTCTCCGCCCCCTCCCCCACTAACACCCTACCTATCCCATACCCTTTCAACTCCCCAGGGAGGGTGAGGCCTTCCATGGGAAGGTCTTCAGAGTCTAAACAAGCCTTTTGTATGTGAGAAAATGTAAACATAATGATGTAATGAAAAGATACTCTAAGTTAATGCGTTTTATACTTCTTTCAGATAAAAGACCTACTCACAATAAAAAAATGTCACTGCAGATGGTAACTGTGGGTCATAATATAGCCTTAATTCAACCAGGCTTCTCACTGATGAATTTTGATGGTCAAGTATTCTTCTTTGGCCAAAAAGGCTGGCCCAAGAGATCCTGCCCTACTGGAGTCTTCCATTTTGATATAAAGCAAAATCATCTCAAACTGAAGCCTGCAGTTTTCTCTAAAGATTCCTGCTACCTCCCGCCGCTTCGCTACCCAGCTACCTGCTCATACAAAAGCAGCTTAGAGTCTGAACAGCATCAATATATCATCCACGGAGGGAAAACACCAAACAATGAGCTTTCCGATAAGATTTATATCATGTCTGTTGCTTGCAAGAACAACAAAAAAGTTACTTTCCGTTGCACAGAGAAAGATTTAGTAGGAGATGTCCCCGAAGCCAGATATGGTCATTCCATTGATGTGGTATATAGTAGAGGGAAAAGTATGGGTGTTCTCTTCGGAGGACGATCATACATGCCTTCTACCCAGAGAACCACAGAAAAATGGAATAGTGTAGCTGATTGCCTGCCTCATATTTTCTTGGTAGATTTTGAATTTGGGTGTGCTACATCATATGTTCTTCCAGAACTTCAGGATGGGCTGTCTTTTCATGTTTCTATTGCCAGAAATGATACTATTTACATTTTAGGAGGACACTCACTTGCCAATAACATCCGCCCTGCCAACCTGTATAGAATAAGGGTAGATCTTCCCTTGGGTAGCCCAGCAGTGAATTGTACAGTCTTGCCAGGAGGAATCTCTGTCTCCAGTGCAATCCTCACTCAAACAAATAATAATGAATTTGTTATTGTTGGTGGTTATCAGATAGAAAATCAAAAAAGGATGGTTTGCAACATTGTCTCTCTAGGAGACAACACAATAGAAATTAGTGAAATGGAGACCCCAGACTGGACCCCGGATATAAAGCATAGCAAAATATGGTTTGGAAGCAGCATGGGAAATGGGACTGTTTTCCTTGGCATACCAGGAGACAACAAGCAAGCTATGTCAGAAGCGTTCTATTTCTATATGTTGAAATGCTCTGAAGATGATGTGAGTGAAGAGCAGAAAATCTTCACAAACAGTCAGACATCAACAGAAGATCCTGGGGACTCCACTCCCTTTGAAGATTCAGAAGAATTTTGTTTCAGCACAGAAGCAACCAGTTTCGATGGTGATGATGAATTTGACACCTACAATGAAGATGATGAGGATGATGAGTCTGTAACCGGCTACTGGATAACATGCTGTCCTACTTGTGATGTGGACATCAATACTTGGGTTCCATTCTATTCAACTGAGCTCAATAAACCTGCCATGATCTACTGTTCTCATGGAGAGGGGCACTGGGTACATGCCCAGTGCATGGATCTGGCAGAACGCACACTCATCCACTTGTCAGAAGGAAGCAACAAATATTACTGCAATGAGCATATACAGATAGCAAGAGCATTACAAACTCCCAAAAGAGGCCTGCCCTTGCAAAAACCTCCAATGAAATCACTCCACAAAAAAGGCTCTGGAAAAGTCTTGACTCCTGCCAAGAAATCCTTTCTTAGAAGGTTGTTTGATTAGTTTAGCAAAAGCCCCTCAGATTCAAGTGCACTGATTCTTAGACCTACTTTTTTTTTTTTTTTGGTTTTTTGAGACAAGGTTTCTCGGTGGCTTTGGAGGCTGTACTGGAACTAGCTCTTGTAGACCAGGCTGGTCTTGAACTCACAGAGATCCACCTCCCTCTGTCTCCTGAGTGCTGGGACTAGAGGTATGCACCATCACTGCCCGGCTAGACCTACTTTTTAAATCATAGTGATATAAATGGTATTTTGACTTTTATTTACTGAAAATCTCTGTGCTGTGTTTTGGTTGTATAAATTAATGCTAGTTTTGATGTAATGTTAAGTATAGTTATTTCAGCATGTGTTTTTAACATTTTATTCAAAAATTTCTTAAATGAGAAATGTTATATAATTTTTATTCAGAATAGTAGTGATAAAGTATAAATAGAACTCTTGCATTATTTTGTAACAATCTACATGTTGAATAGTAACTAAATACCAATAAATAAACTAATGCACAAAGGAATTAAATTGTTTTGTATAACACATAGCCTATAATTGGTTTAAAAAGTTAAAACCAATATCAACTATATCCCACACTGCTGCTCTTTATAAACTTTAAGGCAGCCCCTTAGATTATACCCATGAACAGAAATATATACATATACATACACACACATACACACACACACACACACACACACACACACACACACACACACACATATATATATATATATATATATCACAAAGGGAAAAATATTCTACATCAAGCCAGGAATGATGACACATGTGTGTAATCCTGGGACATGAGAAGTGGAGGCAGGGGAATTATGAGTTTGATTCTGGCCTAGTCTGCACTGTACCTGAAAAAACAAAGTCTGACCTTGATAGAAGACAGAGTAGTTGTAGCATTGTCACCTCCTGTGGTGGTTTGAATGCAAATGACCCCATACGCTCATAGGAGATGTCACTATTAGGAAGTGTGACCTTATTGGAGTGGGTGTGGCCTTTTTGAAGGGAGTGTGCCACTGAGGATGGGCTTTGAGGCTTTAGAGGCTCAAACCAGGTCCTGGTGTCATTCTCTTTTCCTGCTGCATGCCAATCCAGATGAAGAGCTGTCAGCTCCTTCTCCAGCCCCACGTCTGCCTACATGCTGCCATGCTTCCTACAGTGATGACAATGAGCTAAATTTCTGAGCTGCAAGATAACCTCAGTAAGGGTTTTTCTCTGTAAGTGTTTCAGTGGTCATGGTGTTTCTTCGCAGCACTAGAAATCCTAAGACACCTAACATTCCAAAAGTCCTGAATTCAATACTGTGGTACGTTTTCTTGAATAATCTACTGCACTTCAGAAGGGTCAAACATATGCCAACCATACATCTCTGTCTGAATCACTTTGGGGGCTCGCATTCAAACCCTTCAAAATCAATGGTTCATCCCTTTGAAACTGCGCAACTGTTGTCCCTCTTCTTCACTGAAGATTGTTATTATCTCTGAAAACAGCCAAATGTCATTCAAGGCCCAATAATGTGCAACCCTGAATATTGCATTACTATTTTAAGTGAAAAGTGAAACATGAATATGAGCTTATACATGATTTGGGGGTTTCACTCTCAGAAAGGCTTTAATACTAAATCCTGAATGGTTTTCAAAAAGAGTACAAGAATGATATCAAGTAAAAAAAAAATCAGTAAAAAGAAAATTTTCACATTCCATGAATGAAAACTCTTAATTTCTTGTATGAAAAGCACCAAATCCCTCATTGTGGCTTAACATGATTCTTTAGTTCCATCCCCTCCTTCCCTGAATCCCCTATTGTTAGAGTCCCATCATTGTTCAACATTCTTTCTCCAAAATAAAAATAAGTGGATGACACTTGAGGAGAAATGATATTTGAAGTTGACCTCTGACCTCCGCAGACACATGCACATATGTGTGCATACTTCTGCACACACATAACCATGTATACATATGAACACACACAAATTTTTAAATTCCAAGATCCATATTAAACATGGGGCCTGCAAAAAACAACAAAATTCATCTTTAGAGAACTTAATGTCCCACTATAGAAAGAGGCCAGGGACAGGACAGGCAAGGTATAGAAACCACGTCTGGGGCTGGAGAGATGGCTCAGCCATTAAAGGCTAGGCTCACAACCAAAAATATAAGAAACCACGTCTGTATATTCTTGAGCCATTTATGTAGTAAAGGCTGTCCGTGCAATATTAACTTTTTTCTAACCTGGAATATGCTGACAAAATTACAAAATAGGGCCAAAACATCTCAAATTTTCTATCTCATATCAACCTTTACTGAAGAATTGTTGTGGCAAAGATTTTTTAAATGCAAACTAAACCATTTGAAATAGTATACAAAATGTATAGGGATCATTCAAAAATGGGGGTGGGATCTGTGTTGTACAGGATGACCAAACCATTTGTGACAACAAAAAATATGGACTTCCTAAAGAACAAGATGGAAAGATAGTTATAGAAACTGGTCAATTCATTAGACTTTGATCTGACCTCAGTATAGAAATACACAGATCTTGACTTCCAGGTAAATTAGGATATGTGTGTGCATCCATGTGTGATTGTGTGCCTTCTGTGTCTGTCTGCCTGTGTACACACTTGTTCCTCTGTGTGTGTGTGTGTGTGTGTGTGTGTGTGTGTGTGTGTGTCCACGAGTATGAGGTTGTATGCCTGTGTATGACTGTGTGTGTGAGTATGTACTTGTACATGTGGAGCCCACAAGACAACTATTGGTGTCATTCTTCAGGTGCCCTCCACCTTTTCATGACAGGGTCTCTCTCTGGCATGGAACTAGCCAAGTAGGTTAGACTAGTTGGCCACCTGAAATTACCTTGCCTCCACTTCTACCACCCTGGCTTTTTATGTGGATTCTGAGGATCAAACTCTGGCAAAGCACTATA